ATCAACTAGATTTAACAGACATCTACAGAATATTTCACCCAGAAGGATCAGAATACACTTTTTTTCTCAGCAGCACATGGAACATTTTCCAAAATATACCACATTTTAGGTCACAAAGCAAACTTGTCCAAATTCAGAAACATTGAAGTTATACCTTGCATTCTCTCAAACCACAAGGGAATAAAATTAGAACTCAACACCAAAAGCCGCCAAAGAAAGTCCTGTAACACATGGAGTCTGAACAACACACTGTGGAATCATTTACAACCTGAAACAAGAAACAAATCTTGCCAATTCCTTAATAAAAAGGTATTTGGTTCATCGGTTAAATCTACATCTCGGAGCTGAGTGTATATTACTTAAGTGATCACTAATTGTGTAAGTAAATGTGAAAAAATAACTGCCTTATTCTATAATTTATTCCGTAAACTGTTTAGAATTATTAATTACAAGGCATAAAATATGTAGGAATGCTTTGGGGGATGTTTCTAATACCTGACTTGCATCAGGAAAATCAGAAGACTGAATTAGTCTTAGAAGGCTTATGTTCAAGCCTGGCTTAACCTGCAACCATGGAAACTGTCTTAATTTTTCTGGATCTTGGTTTTTTCTTTTAAACTCTCCCACAAACACAAGAATACAGAAAAGTCAGGTAAGACATTACCAGGATTCCTTCTAACTCCAAACATTTATTAATATTTATTACAGCTTATAAGAGAATATTGCTAGTCTGTCTTATTTTGACCAGAGTTTTCAAGTGCTTGAACTTGAACAACTTACAGGTCATTCAAAATAATAGCATCTTTTTAATTTGGACTCATAGTGTTTCCAGATAATTCATCTCTACTTTTACTTCCTGCTGCAAACATGCCTCTGTATTTCATCCTTCTTCATGGCCTAACAAGGTAGTATTATTGTATTTCTAAGCCTTTTTCAAAGAGAAGAAATGCTACATTGGAAGAAGGAAGAGGTTTCATGAAGTTCATGCCGTTCAACTCCTGTATTTTTGCAGTGTCAGTTAGGTTAAAGCAAATAGTGAACTGACATCACTGTAATTTTTAGGTTGGGCTCGTTCTAGACTTGAGTAGTCTAAATTGATCCTTGTAAAGCAGAGAAGGGAATGAAATGGTAACTGACCCATCCCAAAAGCCATTCTGTTGTAGGTTAATGTCACAAAGAATTGTCACTGAATGTCAGAGAACGAGTGTTTCAATTGTTTAGCACTATTTAAACAGCCTAGAAATGTGAGCTCTGAGGCCTAAAGAAGTGAAAATATCATTTGTGATGCTTATAATGCTTACCATACTTGAAGTTCATCAGAAAGTGCTGTAAATGACAGAACAGTGACCAGATGTTAGAAGGCTCAAGTGCAAGCCAGAATTAACCACTAACTTTGGCCAAGCATCTTATCTGGACCTCAGGCAACAATACCAACATGGCGACTAATGGAAGTAAGATGATTTTCTGAAGTATTGATACTTTGAGGCAAGTATTATGCTATATCTTATTTCTTCCTTCTACAAGCTAGTATTAAAGTTTGGTTTCCTTCTGTTATTTACTAGGACACTAGACTGGGAGATATTTCATAACCACTCCAAGTTATTACTGATGAAAATAAAATGAGCTTCATTTCTAGTCTTTCTGACTTAAAGCTTTTTCTACAGCAGCATACCACCTTTTAAATTTAAAGAGAAAGTTTTCTTTTTAAATGATTAAAGTTTACTTGTTCTCAGCAAAAGAACCAGAGTGAAAAGGATGAAATTATGGCCATTGAGCAAGAAGCAATTTATCAAGAAGTTTGGTGTCAGGAGAAGACGGAGAAGCACAATTACTGAATTTGTAAAGTTAATGTCAAATCTTTCTATACTTAAACTAGGAAAATGTATTTTAAAACAATGATCTTAAAGGAATAGATGTTTGGTGTCTAAAACTCAAGAGACAAATAAGCAAGAATGAACAAAATAAAACATTTCCATTTTACCAATGATTTATTTCTTCTGGAATAGGTATAACTTCCTAGCTCTTCACATTCATCTTTTCCTGACAAGAGCCATTTATTTGGATTCATTCATTCATAAGTGCTGATAAGATTAAGAAGTCTAGACTAACGTGGCATAGAACAGGACTGAATAGGCATTTGTTGAATGAATAGGGACAATAAGTGTATCAATTATACAATCTGTGAAGAATGAAGGATTCACAAGTAGTTACATAAGATTCAATGTCTAGGTTGAATGACATTCCTTCAAAGTCCATCAAAGCCACAGAATTCATAAACACAAGCTTAAGGTTAAGTGTCTTGAGTTCAAAGAACTAGGATTTCAGGAAACAGAATATAGCATTAGTTATAGCAATGATTAGAATAAATCACATTTGGGTAAATGAAGAGGAAAAGCAACTGTACTTTGTTAGGATTGCTCAGTCGCAATAAACCTCCAAGTTCAAGGAATATGTGAAAATTAATCCTGTTGATCCTACTACAGTGGAGATAGTGTTCTTACCTGCTCAAAGACAGTCTTCAGAGAATGAAAAACTAGTACAAACAACATTTTTTAAAGTTTTTTCTTTATTAAATAAAAAAGTTATAAATAAGTATCATTTTTCTCCAATAGGTTTTCCTATCCCTCTTAGCCTGGAGTATTTGCCTGTCTGTGTTATCTCATAGCAACTGAAACAAATCATGTTTAATCTGATGATACTGCCTGCTTTCTTGTTTGAGTAATTCACTGTATTGTAAGCTTCAGGAAGACAAATAAATATATCATGCTCCTTTAGTGATTAACAGTACACAGTACTGAAGAATGCATATGGCGAAAGCGTGGATGGGAGGCCAATCATAGTTCGGGTCAAGTCAGGCAAAGATAGGCATAGTGTACACACCTGTAATTCTGGCTAGTTGGAAGCAGAGGCCAAAGATTGTGGTTCAAGGTCAGCCTGAGCAAAAATGTGACATCCTACCTGAGAAAGCAACTAAAACCGAAAGGACCAGAGGCATGACCCACAGGGAAGAGTTCTTGAATTCAAACCTTGCACCCTGCAAAGAAATGTAGAGTTGAATGAATGAGTGAATGAATTGAATTGTCTACTTCAAACCTCATGCTGACTGAGTGCTTATGGCTTATGCCTGTAATCCTAGCTCCTGAGGAGGCTGAAATTTGAGGATTGTGGTTCAAAGCCTTCCAGGCTAGGAAGATCTGTGAGACTCTTATCTCCAATTAGCCACTGGAAGTGGTGCCATGGCTACAAGTAGAAAAGAGCTCAAGGAAGGCACCTAGGTCATGAGTTCAAGCCATGTCCGACATAAAAAAAAGAACAAAAAGCAAAGCAAAAATTCCCACACTGATTAAACAAAATAAGATAATGGGGTGTGTGTGTGTGTGTGTGTGTGTGTGTGAGAGAGAGAGAGAGAGAGAGAGAGAGAGAGAGAGTGAGAGAGAGAGAGAGTATGCTACTGTTAAAGATGTTTATGATACATTATTCAAGACAGAAGTTTTGGAATAGAAATATGGTAAATTTGGGAAAGGAATGGAAACTAAGGACAAACCTTTCCCTCAAAAGTTGACATTGAATTATTAGTTTTTAATTTAATTATAATAATGTCGAGTTCCAGTGACTCATAGAAAGAATTATATTGTATAACAAACTGTACTGGAAAAAAAGAAAACAATCTTCAAATGTTTTTCAGTATAAAGATTAATAATATATTTCACGAGAAGGTCTATATTCCATGCCAAGGATAACAGGAGCACAGTTGGACTGATGTAGTATCTTCTTTCTTGTGGGAGAAAATATCTATTTATCTGTCTTGCTGTCTATTCTCTGTATATATGCATGAATAAATGTGTTTGCACGTGTATCCATTTATTGTCATTTATTGATTATGGCATACAGAGAAATTAAGAATATTTCCTCTTCTTTCTCTACTCCTTCTTTCTTTCTCTGTCTCTTGGTATGTCTCTGTTTCTCTCTGTCTTTCTTTGCCTCTCTCCTGCTATCTCTGTCTTTGCTGTCTCTGTATCTCTTTCTTTCTCTCTTCTCTGCATCTCTGCCTCTATCTGTCTCTGTCTGTCTGTCTCTCTGTCTCTCTCTCTCTCTGTTGCTATACAAAATAAATGTATCCTCTCAATGGAAATCCCAAAATCACCTTTGCATCACACAGATCTCTAGAATAGCTCCATATTTTGATAAGATTTGGGCTGAATAACTTAGGTTTAGTTCAACTCCTATACTACTTCCATTTTTCTAAGCTTACAGGTGAAAAGCATAAGCTAGTTAGAATCAATGATAAGGAAATGGATAGGGATAAAGATATGGATACGAGCCTGGAAGCTACTGGAATTCATTTTAAGCTGTGAGGTGTTTGACTTGTGATAGAGGGGCGGTGGAGGTAAGAATTCTAGAGGAAAAACTTGGAATCTGATTTTAATGATAGAATCTATTCTTTACAAATAGGTATTTAGGTGGCTGAGGGAATAAAATACAAACTGAGAATGGGGGAATATGTTTGATCTGTCTTTTGAAAACTTACCAGGGTTGTTAGGTCAGTAAGAAGAAGGACAACCAGAATGTGCAAAATCATGGGGCATGAAGGATCATTCACAACTGTGAAAACAAATACTTCACATGTACCTCAGTATATCTGGAGGATAAACTGGATTTGAAGAGGTGAGGTGATAAATGTTGAAGACATAGTACCCGAATCTTGTTCATTTGTTTGCATGCAAGTGCTGGGACTTGAACTCAGGGAACTGGCCCTCTCACTTGTCTTCTTCACTCCAATTGGTGCACTATCACTTGAGCCACACCTACACTTCTGGATCTCTGCTGGTTCATTTCAGATAAGAAACTCAAGGATTTTTCTGCCCAGACCAGTTCTGAACCATGATCCATGAGTAGCTAGGTTACAGGTATGAGGTTCTAGCATCTGGTAGTATCAGAATCCTCTCGGGACATATCATGAACTTGGACATAATTATTCTGAGTATGGGAGGTGCCAGAAGGATTGTGTATGATGGGGTCACTTGATCACTCATGTCCTCCTTAGAGTTTGCTTTAGGGAAAATGGACCAAAAGATAGGAGTAAAGGGAAGCGGGGAATTCAGAAATCTTTGCATAATTTAAGAGACAATGTGATATTACAGTATGGTTATAACAGTGAGTGTGGTAGGAAACCCTAACAAGATAGATACCAATGTATAACACTCTATTTGAATATCCATAACAAGGGTGGCACTTTTCTCATATTCTTAGGATAGAGGAATGTAAATGATTCATTATAGAATCTGAAGGCAGACTATATGGATTTGCAGGAAGAATAGTCCCTACCAGTAAAATAACCTTTGTCAAGTACTTCAACTCAGTACCTCTGTCTTCTGAGAAATGGGGATGATGTGACAATCACCTTATGGTGCTGCTCCAGTGACTAAATGAATAAATATAAGTGAAGGACATAGATTAAGGCCTGTCAGATAGAGAGCACTCAAAGACCTGGTCTATCATTCCTTATGATTACAATATATCAACATCATTCATAATTATTATATTTTGATTTTTACATATGGAAAAATTGAAAATCTGAGAAGTCATGGGATTAGCTATCTGGGTAGGTACTAAGTAAGAGAGGTAGAATAAACTCACTTGCTGGCCAGGATCCAAACCTTTGCTAGAGTATCTTCCCTCTGTTGAGGATGATGCTTCCCCTGTCACTGGAAGAATTTCCTGTTCTTCTATTAGAATGACGAGATCTTTCAAAAAGCTGCTATCCTGCAGCCCAGAGTTTGTCTTGCTTGACTTAGGTTTTGTTTACCTAAGAGGACATGTTTACAAGGAGCAGAGGTGTTAATAGCAGAGTTGCTGCAAGTTGGTCATATTTAAGGGTCATAGGCTGGCAGAATTCAAGTGTTTAGTGTTGTTTTCTGGTTGTTGTGGATAATAGTTCTGTTATAAATCACTTGCTAATAAGGGCTTTTGGTCTAGTAAATTATCGTACAGAAGCTATCCCAGGGATAACTGGGATTAGGGAGGTAGCTAAGATCATATCACGAGAATTAAATGCAACTACAGATTAGTGGAAGCTTGAGGTGCTATTGTTAGGTAGCAAGTATGAGAAGGAAATGAAGATGAAGGGCATGTGTGCCTCACCAGAGTTCCAGTTCTTTCACACATCTGACAACAGAGTTAAGGCCAGCAACCTCACACAAACCCTCTTATAGAACTTTAGCCATAGCAGATCTCTAATATTGGTTACCTTAAAGAGGAATGAATAGACTTGTAGGGTAATAGAAGAAATTGGGAAGAACTCTCACAAGTTAGGTGGCAATATGGATGGAATGAATGCCACTGAATTATACACCTGAAGATTATTCATAGGCAAATATTATGCATTTTACATGATACACGTATATATAAAAATCACAAGTCAACTCACAAAGGAGTGAGTGACTGAATGAATACAAGGACAAGTGAGATGGAGGAACAGATGGACACACACAAATGAACAAGAGAAAAAAAAATGACAGCATTTCCCATGTGTTTTTAAGGATTAAGCAGTTTCCATAAAATGTCAAGTACATGGCTCTGACTCACACAATGTAGGATTCTGGCATACTAAAAGGAAAAGAATAAAGTGTATTGTTTTATTTAGAAGAACAGCTGCTGATCGTGAGCTGTAAATTTTTTCTTAATATAATGGCCATTGAGAGGAAACTGTAAGACGTCACAGAATGTAGCAGTGCCAAATGGCTGTGACTCTCTCTGAGCCCCGTGGGGCTGGTCTGCCAAACAACTCTGCTTGACTGTTTAGAAGATTACCCACTTCACTCCTAAATTGGTAGCTGTGCTAGCCTGGATCACGAAGACTGCAAAAATGAGTAGCCTGCTTAACTAATCTTTCCTCTTAAGAAGAATTTTTCCCCCAATAAAAGCAGAAAAGGAAAGGCTGACATTGGAAAACATTAAAATAAATTACAATATGTTTGCATGTATTTTTTTTTAAAAAAGTAGTGATTTAGTTTTATGTCACATCCTTATTTCACTCAATGGAGATTAGGATCCACAGGAGATGTTGGTGAAAAACTTTGGTACTTCACATTGATCTTTAAAATCCAAGGTACTGTCAACAGCTGCCTGATCATCAGATCTTCATCAGAGGAAATGGTTGTGTTCATCCTTGGCATCGAAGAAACCTTGATCCCTGAAGAGGGATCTGATCTGTGACTGCTTCCCTGAGAATTCCTTCTGGTTGGGATGCCTGTGAGGGGTTCAATGGAGAAAACCTGGAATTTGCAGTTCAGTGCATTTGATTGAAGACTGGGCTCATTCTGCATCATTAGCTCAGTCAAGTTGCTTAGATATTCTGAAGATTCAGTTTTTTTCTCCTCTGAGACAACTAAGAAAAACAATCCTTTCAGATAGAAAATGCGCTAAACTGAATCCTAATTGCAGGGCAGACACAATAAGTAGCCTCTGGTGTTCCTTTATTTTTAAACAACCAGGCTGTCGATGTTAGAAAAACGGAAGATATAGCAATGTTGTCACTGTTGTTGTTTATTATGTGTTTTATTATCTAAGTCATTGCACAAAAGAGTTGCTATTCGACAAATCAGTTTATATGGACAGCGCATCTTGATCGATGTCCCCCTTTCCAGCAATCTCCCCCTCCCACCTAACACAACCCTTCCTCTCAATTTTCCTATTCATAGGATATGAGTTCATTATATGAATGTATTCTCTTCTCCCTTTCTCATTTCATCCATCTACGCTACTGCCCCTAACACCCCTCCACTCCCAACCTGTCAAGTCCCAGTTTCCTGGTACTCATTTTATTGAACTGTGAGTTCAGTTTTCTAAGGAATGACACCATTTGAATTCTCTCCTGCAAATAACATACTTCAGTTAATATGTTTGTGTGTAGTTGCATACTACCCCGTATGTATTTACTTGTATATTTATAAATTAGAGTTAGTTTCCACATGTGAGAGAAAATAATGTTTTGGTCAATGACTCTCTAAGCAGGGAAATTCATTTCCCCCAACCAGTTGTTATTCTTATTCATGAGAATGATTGGAACCAGATGAGTTTATAATCCTCCTTAGCTTTGACACTCAAATGTGTGTGTGTGTGTGTGTGTGTGTGTGTGTGTGTGTGTTTAGTCAAAATCAGCATTTCAGAATGGGTCTTCAATTTCCTGAATTTTTTAATTGGTGAGATATTATGGTACCCACAAAGAGGACTTTAAATCTGCTGCATAGAAATCAAAAATCCCCTCAGTATATAAAGCCTATTTAAAGGCAAATAAATTTGGCTCTATATTCTTCCATTAATCTAACCCCCAAGCAACTTAAAGTTTACTAGAATGATATCTTAGATGCTATATGTGGTTTTCTGCAGTAAGAATGCTGTCCCTTGCCACCAGGCTTCTGTGGTAGGGTAGTAATCAGAGGGAGAAGTCATAGGAGTCCACATAGACTGAAAATATATAACAAGTCGTGATGATCCTACCCCTTCCCTTATACAGGGCCACCAATACCTGAGTCTCTTTCTTTCTCTTTATATCAATCCATGCCATTCATCTCTCCACAAATTCTATTGGCTCTATCCTCTAGCTATTATTTGAATCTATCCAGTCCTCTTACATCTCTACTGCCTAAATACATATCTGTTTCATTTACCACCTAAACTACTCTAGCAGGTTCTACCTGGACCTGCAGCCTCTGGTTTAAGTTCTCTGCATGTCAGTTTCCAAACTGTTGCACTCTAAAAAATCCTCTGATCAAAAAGGCCCCATCCAGGTATCTACAGCTCACTCTCTCTACCATATCCCAACCATCATCATCCCACCCTAAAAAACTTTCAGGGTCTCACATTTGCCACCATCTGACTTAACTCCTGATCTTCACATACCTTTTCTTCCCCACCTAGTGTAGTTTCCCTGCTTTTATCTTTTTCGCCACCAACACCTACCTTTCTACCACAACATCCCACTGATATTTATGATCTCAGATGAGACATGACTTCTTGACCCTCTTGTTCTCTCAATCCACACTCAGACTATATGCACGGTCAGTGTGTTCTTATATCAGTCTTGCTTGGTTTTTTGTTGTTGTTGTTTTGTTTATTTGCTATCTTATTACTGTTTGACTGTTTCATTGAATACTGTAAGTCCTGTGTAAGCAGAAATTCTGATGTTCTGATGCTTGATAGGCTCTCCAGGATGAGCACAAAACATAAATTAAGGGTATATGCAAATGTACATGAATAAATGAATAATAAACAGGTCACTCCTATAGATGGAGCTCACTATTTTTAAACATACTTTTATTATCGTTAAGTAGGTGTGCAAAGGAGTTGCCATTCAACAAACAGTTTATGAATATAGTGCAACTTGACCAATGTGACCCCTCTCCATGTTCTCTTCCACCCCTCCCAACCCACCCCTTACCTCACTCTTCTTAATTTTGTAGGATTTATTGGACGTTTTTTGATACTTAATTATTTTTATTGTGAAAATACTGTACAGAGAGGTTACAATTACATGGGCAAGGTAATGAGTACATTTCTTATCAAGCATTGTTACCACCTCCTTTGTTTCCCCTTACCATCCCTTCCCATTCCCACCCCCAGACCTCTTGCAAAAGTTGTAAAGTTCATTTTTCAACATCATGTCTTGTACATCTCATTGTTGCAATGGGTCCACCTGTCTCCCTATTTAAACAATTTGTTTTTTCCCTTCCCCTCCACAAATGATAACAAAATACATTGCATCTTGATCTGTGTCACTCTTTTCAACATTCTTCACCCCTGTTCAGTCCCCTTATTTTTCTTAATTTTGTGGTACATACAATGCATTCTTGACTGCATTCTCTCCCTCCCCACTTCATTTATCTGCCTCTCGCCCCTTGGCTCCACTTAGAACTGTCACTGAAAATCTTTGAGCTGCATTATTTTCAACAGAAAAAATGAATACAGATGCTTTTCTCTGGTTTCTTTGTTCCTTGATTGGTGGGAT